AAAAAACTAAATCAAGTATATTATTTTTATAATTAACAACAGCTTGTGCTGCATAGAGAAACTCAGCACATGCTAAAAAGGTAGATGTGGCCCTAAATGTAATTAACAGATTAATTACGGGGTGCCTGAGACCAACACCAGTTCAGAAAGTACAAGTATTATGCGGTATAGCACCCCCTAATATAAGGCGAGAGGTGGCAGCAAGGGTAGAAAGTCAAACTGTGATGATGATGCTGTTGGATATAGTTCATGTGTATGGTTTGGATTGATTGGAATACGTACATTTTGCTCATTGCTGTACATAAGCTGCTTCATTTCAAATTCCTGTGTTATAGAAAAAATAGCACTTTTAGCTTGATTTTGTAGTATAGGATTAAGTGCCTTAAGTGTAGGAGCTAGCTATTCCACTCAAAAAAGCATCAATAGGATGCTTAACTGTAGATTCGACTTCTTTTTTAGATTTTTTATTTTCTTCTTCCTTCTCAGCTAACATAAATGCCATTAGAGCTTGCTTGCTTGCTGGAGAATCTATAGATTTTCCTTCATGAATCATTTTTCGTTTGAGTGGAGTCTAAATGCATTTTTCTTCACAGATGAACTAGATGCTTCGGCTAAAGTTTCTGTTGTAGATCTAAGAGTATCGTCTACAGAGAATCAGTGAGATTATTCTGAATTTCAGTTATTGATTTATTGCTTCTGTCTCTGTCATTCTGTGGCTCACATGTTTGTCCACTGAATTTTTCCGGAGCTTCAATATTAGTAATTTCCATTTCATTATTTTGATCCTCTTCAAAATTATCCACGTTGGATAATGTGTCGCGTTCTGAAATGTGTGGTAAAAGAAACTCAAGAATATCTTCATACTTATACTTTCGGTAATTCACTGCAGCCTGTCCAGATGCTGTCTTCCTTTTTTGTAGAGTTCTACGGAACTGATCTCTGACAGAAGTCCACTTTTTTTTATATTCTTCTATTCCACCTAAAACATTCAGCAATAGTTATTTTATTTTAAGATTACTTGATAAAGATGTATTTTTCAGGTTTCTTGCTACTGGAGATACTTTCAAGGCTATTTCCTTTAACTACAGATTAGGAAAGTCAACAGTTGCTGCTATTGTTCATGATACCGGCAGAATAATTGTAGATGTTCTATTAATGAAAATGATGCCAGTACCAAACCAAGAAAAATGGAACGCTATAGCTACTGATTTTTGGGCTAGGTGGCAGTTTCCAAACTGTATCGGTGCTTTGGATGGCAAACACGTTGTAATACAAACTCCAAAATTATCGGGATCTCTCTATTGGAACTACAAAAAAACGTATTCAATTGTGCTTCTTGCCCTGGTTGATCCTTGTTACAACTTTATTGTAGTTGATGTTGGTTCTTACGGGAAAAATTCTGATGGAGGAATTTTTTCGAATTCAAACTTTGGAAAAGCATTACAAAATGGCAAGCTCAATGTGGCAAGCAAGGGTAGAGAAAACAAAACAAGAATCAGACTTAAGACATCTTCTATATGGAGGTAAAACCATGGGGAGCCGGCTCAAATCAAGGAAAAATTTTTTGAAGACAACAATTAGCCTATCACAAACACCTGAAGCAACGAGAATAGATTTATGGAAGGAGGCAATGAAAGAGCATAACTCACTGCTATGGAAGGATCCGAAGGAAAGCTTACCGACCGGAAGTCACTTACCATGGTCGGTATGGAAGACACTGAATAGATTACGAACGGAAACTGGAAGGACAGCGAGTAATATGAAAAAATGGGGATTGAAAGATGATGGGAAATGCGAATGTGGTGGAGAGCAGGATGCGGACCATCTGTTTGTATGCCCACAATTACCGAATAAGTGTAGAAAGGAAGATTTTTTGACGCATAAAATTTCAGACAAAGCAATACAAATTGCGGCTTACTGGGGAGCGAAGGGAATATGAAGACCGATACGACAAGAAGAAGATCAAACTAAGTCTTTTTTGGTATACTTTTTAACGGGATTGAGAAATATTTATAAATATTATTTATTGTTTTATAATAATTGAAATTTTTAATATTTTATCCGTGTTTCAAATTACAATACATTGTTATATTTATTTGTACATAGTTATATTCTATCAATTGCTATAGCCTAATTGTTTCAGTAAAAATTGTTTTGAAACAGAAACTGAAATAAGAGTGTATATAAAATATTTTAGAAATTTAACAGAAATTAGTGTTTCATCGGTTAATGTATTTTATAACTAAAATAAACTATTGTGATCGTATATAAAAATCATTTCAATTTAAACAATATTTTTTGGCGGTAAATCACGACGGTTAGCAACGATGAGCAGATAATCTATGTCCGATTTTAATTGTTATATTATATTTGCAATTGTTCAATATTTTCATTTTGGCAAATTACTTTCTTACGAATTTATGTGTATAATGTATAAAAAAAATTTAAAAAAACTGAAATCATAATTGATTATTTAAATACTGTTATTGTTTACTTTATAACAGTAAACAGTCAAAATATATGAGCCGATCCAGAGTGAATTGATATAACGAGAAACTTACATATACCTATTTACTTCACACAAATAGAGGTACGTCGTTTATCTTTTGAATAAAAAATGCAATCACAATACAATTAATTAAATTTATGTTTTTTAGTTTGTAGTATATTTATTCATATAATCCATTACCTTTTTAAAATTAAAGATAATTAAGTAACCTCGGGTATTTAAATGAAATGTTTACATTAGTTAAATAAAATTTTTCCATTCAATATTTATTTAAATTATTAATATCTAAATTTATCAATTTAATTGCATAAGTGTTTGTTGTTTTTTTATTATAATAAAAATTTATTTGATTTATCTACATGAGTATTAACCAGGACACTAAGCCTTTTTGGCATACTTTTTTTATTGGGATTGTGAAATATATATGAACATTATTAATTTTTATAAGACATTATACATTTTAAATACTTTATCCGTGTTTCTAATTACAATAAGTTGTTATATTTGTACATAGTAATATTCTAACAAGCGCTATAGACTAATAGTTTCAGTGAAAAATGACTTGACACAGAAACATAAATGAAGGTGTATAAAAAATATTAAAAATTTAACAGAACTTAGTATTTTATCGTTTATTGTATTTATAATTAAATTAAAATTTTCTACTCGTATTTAAAAATCATTTACATTAAAATAATTTTTTTTGCGTCAAACCATGACGGTTAGCAACGATGAGACAGATAATCTATGTCATATATATATATATATATATATATATATCAATTTGTCATATTCTATGTGGGTTTGTTAAATATTTTCAATTTGACTAATTACATTTATTACAACATTCTTTGTTCATAACATTAAATAAAATTAAAAGAAAACTAAAATCATATTTAATTTTTTTTTTTTTTTTAATTTTAAAGCTTAATTGATTACATAAATATTGTCGTTGTTTATTTTATTAATGTAAAGAGCCAAAGTCTAGGAGCCGAACAAGAGTGAAAAGAACTTACGAGAGATAAACACATAAGTACTTAATTACTACGACAAATACAGGTACGTCGTTTATCTTTTTAGTAACAACTGGAATTATATTTAAATATAAATTTACAATTTTTTTTTTTTTTTTATGTAAACCATTACCTTATTAAAACTTATAATCATTAAGTATTTTCGGTAGTGCAAATAATATTTTTCTATTACTTAAAGAGATATTTTCCATTCAATATTCATTAAAATTATTAATACTCTAAATTTATAAATTTAAATACATCAGTGTTTATTTATTTTTATTATAAAAATATATTTTTTTTTGATATTTAAAATAATTCAAATATTAATACATTATTATAGTTGTATGTAGTTAACATATATTCAGGGTCAGCAGAAAGCACGTGCCTTTTTTCGAATTTTAAGGTGGCATTGTTTATTTTATTACAGTAAACATCCGAAGTCTAGGGGCCGATCAAGAGTGAAAAGAACTTACGAAAGATAAACGCATATGTACTTACTTACTCCCATAAATACAGGTATGTCATCTTTCTTTTAAATAACAACTCTAAATATATTTAAATAAATTATACTCAAG